TTTCGAATCAAGATAAGTAAAAGATTATATTTTGAAAGGTCGTGGTCCCAAGGCGGTGTGCAGGACGATATGCGCAGATAAAGTCATCTACCCGACGGATATGGGAATGTGGACAATGGTGGGGACGGAAATGCGTCAACGCCAACATTTACTTGCCAAAACCACTTACGTTAAGCTCATGTAGTGTCCAAGACCTACGAGTCGTAGTCGAACTTGCTCATGTCGGTCGACACGTAGATTCGAGATTCATTCATCTTCAGCACGGAAATCAAGATCACAATTAATCTGGCGAGCTGAATCGGAGGACTGGCCGTTCCAGGGATTTCCGTGCTGGTTGAACGCCATACACCGCCGACCACACTTTTTTCCCGCGCTGCAGACCTTGCGACTAGTATGTCTCAATGCATTCCCTTACCAACGCCGGCGGGGCTTGTCGAATTCGTGGAGCAAGATCAAATTGCAGTGTTGTGCGGGTGGCGCCGTGCGCCAAATGATTCGAGTGTCTATATCCGTATGCCTCCTATGCAAAGTACAGCCAAATGACTGTCGCATCGAGCAGCATGTCCCGTCTGCGACGTACGTGGAAAATGCAAGCCCCGAAAGGTTGCGATCGGCTGGCGCGGCGAGGAACTCCGACCATACATCGCTCACTCGCCACGAATACATGAGGATCTAGATAGTAATAAAACCTTCCATTGCGATGAGATGGGGCGTTTTCCTCTTGCATGAATCACAATAAGAAGTGGCTCATATGCGCGTGGTGCAGTGCAAGGTCCTGCCTTGAAATGGAAAGCCCTTCAAGCACTGTTTGTCATGCGTTTTGCCAACCATCGTGACACTTCTTCAGCGTTGCGCTGGGCATGCATGTCAGTAAAGTACTCCTACAACGCCTAGATGACAAGGTTCAGTTCATACATCTTTGTTCGCCGATGGCGCTCTAGCTGTTCCTACGACGGATGAGACGTTGGGAAATGAGCCATCACAGTTGACGAAGCATAGACAGGTTGTCCCATTTGTAGTGGTTCCAGTCTTTCTACCACGTGAATTGATGCGATTGCCCTCTGCTTCGTTTCCAGTCTCAATCGTAGAATATGCGTTCTCGTCCTCTGCTTCGTTTCCAGCGTCAATCGTACAGTTTGCGTTCTCGAAAGCTCGCAAATTGTTGCATTGCTGGAAGCGCAACCAACGCAGCCTTCCAACGATGGGGATTCCATTGACACGTTTGTTGTTCAAATGCCCTCAGCGGGGGGTGTCATGAACGGCGTGAGAGACCAGCGCAGTCGCGGCATGCCTGAGTTGACGTAGTTCCTCTAAGGAGCTCCTGGAACACAGACCACCAATATCGACGTGTTGGCATGGCAGCTTCAGTTATACGTTCGACGTGTAACGGTTACCGTCGCCGCATCTGTTACAAGGGGCGCTAGAGGATCGACATGGTGGTGATGCAATTCAACCACGCCAGGCCATCGACCGGCCGATGCGTTAAGTATACCTGGTCCTTCGGTCGTGAGAGCAGGCAAAGACTTGATGCGGACCCGGTACTTCACTCCTGCGTTGCGGAGGACGTGACCACAGCTTCCAGTGTGCTGAATTCGCGTGCGAGTAGATTGCTGTTGGTACAAGATAGAGTATGCAAGAATTTATTGGGTACAGACACGTCCAGCCCTGTGCACAAATGTCCCGCCAAGGGCATGCACGAGCTTTCATGCTGCGGCATGTTCAGTCGTCGCACGTCTCCACGATCGATCCTGCGATACGATTTGGGATATCCCATGCAAGTCCCATGTTGACATTTTTTGGTATGGAGAGGGGTTTTGACCTTCCCCACCTGCAGCTGCGCAACCTCGAGTTCACCGAATTGCGGTGGACGACGCGAAATTATGAAATGATCAAACTGCTCTGTGGCAAAACAGAAGTCGGTCGGGACGACCTAGAATGTGGAGCAGTGGCTCTGGGCAGCCCGACTCACCCCCCGTGTGGCCAGGATTCCACATCATTCTCCTGTCCCAATATTTCACCGTGCTGCCTGGGGCGTCAAGCTGAAATCACACGAGATAACCGTCGTGCCAACTGTTGAATCTTCACAACACGAAGTTCAGCCAGTGTGTGGCCACATCACACTCACCGGAGCAAGGAGGCGGAGCTGCGAATACGCTAGCGGCTGCAATGACCACGTGGCTTGACTCGTCGAATTCGTACGCTAGACTCCGTCTGGTTGAAAGCCATGTTGTACGCAGTAGGCAATTCACAACCCATCAACCGAATCCACCTCCCGGACTCGAGCGATATCCACCACTCGTTTCATTAGGCGAATCCTAGACCGGCCGCAAGTTGAAGAACAAGAGGCTGCTCCCACGACAACTTGTCTGTCCGCCGTGCCACACACACCACGTCAATGGCCGTCGCATCTCGTTGAATCATGGTCTCGCCCTCGCTCGAAACCCCTCGGACGGGGCCCTCTCCAGAGACCACAATCAATTGACATACTTGAAGGTCTATGGAGAATTCGTCAAATATGTTGATACCAAGATAATTGATTGGGCCGGGGGGGGGGCAAATGCGCCTCCCACAGCGTGCGGCGGTGGCGCATTTGCCCCCCCCCCCAGTCTGTCACGCGATCACTCATCGTGACTCGTATCCATCGGCCCTCTCCCGTCAGCGCGCAATGTCAGTTTACGGGGCCGTCGGTTTTATGCAGCCAAGTGTGCCGGGGTGTTTAAACCAAGTCGAATGGGGTTGGAACAAAATACTCATTTTCAACCGATTTTAACGTGGATGACGTACACTGTACCCCATGTCGCGCATCCGGGTCATACGTCACGTTGTGCAGCCCATACTCCATTGTGACATTGCTTGATCCACTCCGTGAGGTAGTCCTCTTGCTACGGTCAACATCTTTCTAGCACCAGCCCGACGTAAAATCATAAAACCCAAAACGTATATTGGCGTCAAACATCGGTCGGCGAAATCCCACCACGGTTCCGTCCTTCTGGTGAATTCCTTTATATCAGTCCCTTACCCGGCAGGGCCATCTCGTCCGCCATCCATTACATTCGCTAGTGCCTCCCACGGTATCATTCGTCATTCGCACCGAGTGAGATTCCGTGCTATCGTCATACTGCCTCGTTGAGACACTGGCGTCGCCTTGCGGGGCACGTCATTTGCTTCGATCACGGGGCTATATGACCCTCTGTTCGCACCATTCACTGTACTTGGTTAAGGTTCGTTGGAGTCGGTAGTATAAACACAGCAACTGAGGGGGGCGTCTGCCTGACGGAGAGACTCGGCGCTGCATGCGACGCACATCGGTGAACGAGCCCCCGCTTCAATGGCACATACGCCCTTGGGACTCTCTGAAGGAGATACGACGGACCCGGTCGCCGCCTTGGCGTGGGGGCCAACCGATCCCTTCCTCTTGAGATGGGATTCCCAGGTCAACATCCCGTAATCGAATCACATAAACACGCAACTGGCTGCCCCGCCGTGGCCGAATGGCTCCCATAATCTGTCTCGAGGTGATTGTGAGGATGGGCGACGGCAACGCATTACATGCGCCGAGATCGCGACGCCCCGAGGACGGGAATGCGCGCGAGCGGCCGATTCCACCTGTCCCGGTCGCGAACCGCGTTTTCTGCACCTTTAGCGACTGCCCGCAGTGCGCGCATGGATTCAACGAGTCGTACCTGAGGTACGCGATGTGTCGAAGGAAAGGTTCCCTCACGCTTGTGTCGGTGACGTGGCAGGAGCTACCGTCCCAACGGACTCAAGGTATGACACATGTTGTGAGGGACGATTCGAGGATGGACATTCAACGATGTGCCTGTAGGTTTTGAGGTAACAAGGCGCGTTCCCGCGCACGTGACCCGATGGAATCATCGTCGTGTGGATCGTGTAGATGCTTTCCACACTGCTGTCCGACCCACATGCTCAACAGTACGTGCGGCACGTCCGTCATGATGCAAATCGCGGGACAGTTTTCCCCGACCGAAGCGCTGTCGTTCGTGACGTTTGCTCGATTTGAAACGACGATGGACCCGCCGTCGTTCCACGTCGGCAACTGCGTCCCATTTGCCGAGTTTGCCGACTCGGATTCGAAATCGTCGCCGTGGTATCCCGGCGCGCTCTCGACCAACTCTGCCGACGACGACGTACGGCCCTGTTCCAACACTCTGTGTGTCGATCTCACTGCACCACGAGTAGCTCCTCATGCGATACACATTCAACGAGCACATGCAGCGGCCGTGGAGCTACGGGTGGACGTCGAGCGCGAGCGCCGCCCTTCGCAACACATTGCACGTGTTCAAGGTCGTCGCATGCCAGCCACCGCCATCCAGTTGTCATCGTGGTCGTGATGGTAGGCGTATTTATTGTGCTCCAACGGCAACGATACCCTCGTTGTTGTGGGGATGGCGCAGTCCCAGGCATTTTCGATCGTGCCGTATAAAAGTGCGGTGGCCGACCGGAAACTGCATCGACCTACGTCGTCGTCGTTAGCACCACCGCAGCCACCGACAACGGCGCCATCGCGTACGGTGGCGCCCAGTGGATCCTTCTCCTGCGAGTTTGTGCCATGCGCTTGTGACAAGCCCCAGTTTACGTCGAGTTACATCCGGTGCGACCGCTCGATCCTGCTTGATAGCCCATCGTTGCGTTGAGTAGATGCAATCGATCAAATGGCCGAAAAGTACGTCCGCATGGAACATTTCTGGTCATGGCGGTCCGCCTCATTGCGCTCTTTTTCTGTGTAGCAACTCCGGTGCCGTCATTTTGCGCGAGGTCGAACCGCAAGCTGACTGACGATCGTGCAGGTGCTTTCCCCACTGTTGCCCCGAACACAACTTGCACTGCAGCTGCGGGGGACCGATCGCGGTTGCGGTGGACATGACCCACCCGATCGAAGGCGAGATCGTCATGTATGCCCATGGCGAGCGGGTAGATGATGCCGAGTTTGCGCTAAACCAAGTGGTCGCGCACGATGTGATTCTGTCACGACTGCACGAACCTGGTCAGAACGACCGCGGGGACTGGGTCCCTGGCATCTTTCAACCATCGCAGTCGACAGAGGTGCTATCGTTTTTCATTCCGTCGAGAAAGAGATCCATGGCGTCTGAAGCAAACTCTCTAGCGACGGTTGGTCTTCAATTTGAATGAAAACTCGACGCATTTGGGGTGGCCGTACAACTGGAAAGGCAGCGCGACCAAAGTCGACCGCAACCAACAGCACGTGTTGAAGGTGCACGACTTGATCTCGCGCGCAATCGTGGGGCTCCTCAACCGATTTTTGACCAGGCGTATGTCTTTCAGCTGTCACCCGACAACACAGCGCTTCGCGTGCTCAACTGGATTGCGTCGACGCCGTTCACGATGTCGTCGTTTCGACGCAGCAACACAACGCCAACATCGCGCACGAACAAGTACATTCAAGTCATCCCGACCGAAATTACAGATCAGTCGCTCCAGGTGCTGCGGAAGAAGGTCCCGGCCTCACGCAAGCGACAGCATGACCATGTCGAGTTGCCCACAACGCTCCTCAACGAAATCAACTCTGCTGGGTAGACATGTGTCTCGCGCTGTCCTCGTAATGGAACGCACACGTATTTATCTTGGACGGGTATGCAATGTCATCATGACATACCGCTACAAATCGACCGCTCCACTGCGTGTGGAGGCGCGTCCGTGTGGAGCCAGACACGTCACATTCCATCGCGGGAATATGCGGGGTATGTCATCGCGACATGCCAATTTCACAGCCCGCGCGCATGGCTCGGGCAGCCTGTCGCTACGATATGTCAGGATGACATACCATCGGTCCCAACCATCCACCAGGTTGTCGATATCTTTCTTATATAAATAAAAACGTCACGACACGAAGGATGTTCAGCCGGCAGACTGCGAGTCGTTGAGCACCGACGGCGGCGACTCAATCCGGTCCAGCGACCGCTTGCGCGGCACGAGTGGCGGCACCACGAGATCCGTGATCTCGGTCGGCTTGACTTCAATGTACGAGTTGGTGCGCGACGTTGGGGTTGTGTTGCACCGTCGAAACGACGACATGGTGAACGGCGTGGACGAGATCCAATTGACCACCCGCAACGTGTGGCCACCACGAAGCACTTGGAACACGTACGCCTGGTCACGCTGGTGCGTCAGGACAAGTCGCAGTTCGGTGCACGAACCTTGAAGATGTGTTTGCGATTGCGGTCGACCTTGGTTGCGCTGCCCTTCCAGTTGTATGGCCACCCCGCTTGTCGTGAGTTTTGGTTAAAGTTGAAAAGAAGCTTCGTCTAGTCAGCACGGTTGAGCGACGACGAGTGGCCCGACGTCCATCGTACCGGGGTCGAAATGCCGGGTTGCAATATGCCTTTGACCCAGTCGCCGCGCTCATTGCTAGGTTGATGCAGTCTCGACAAGATCATGTCGTGGGGGACTTCATCGTGCAGGGCAAGCTCGGGCATGTGCAACCGCTCGCCGTGGGCGTACATGACGAGCTCTTTGGTTGGACGCGCAAGTGGTGGAGCCTCGGTCAAATCGACACCGCACATGATGGGGCCACCGCAGCTGCAGTGCAATATGTGGTCAGGGCAACAATGGGGAAAGCATCTACGCCACAAGACCCATTAGATCGACGGCCGCTTGCGTGGCTGGGCAGCGAGTGCGCTCACCGAAGTTGCTTGCGGCCGTTCGCGCGGTTGCATCTGCGGGCAAAGTCAGTGGATAGGGAGCACCGGTGAGACTTGATGCACTCACCGAATGTAGCTGTCGCCAAACATGGGCTTCTCGCATTGACACGCAACGAAGTGACAGTTGAAGGCGGCTTGCGGCGGCGGCGCCACGTCGACAAAGTCGTCGTGAACCGAGATAGGCATCGCTTCGACTTCATCTGCTCCATGACATTGACTGAGTTTTCTCTGCGCGGAGGATGGCATGAGCTCACCGTGACCGACAGGTTTGTACGGCACAATGACAAAGCCAGGGGATTGAGCGATCCCCACGAGTTGCAGTACGCGCGGCGAGTCTTGCTTCGCAGAGAACAAATACCCCTGCTCCAGCATAAGGGACGGACGAGTGCCGACAGGGATACCTTGAACACGTGCTGCGTGTTGCGGAGGGCGGCACTCGCACCGCTAGTCCACCCATAATGCCACGGGTCGTGCTGCTTTGCTTTAAACGTAAACAGCATGGGGCTATGGCCGGACTGGCTGTCGCTGGCGAACCACGCCGCGAGGGGATTTGCACTGGACGAGACGTCGATGTCATCGAGATGCACTTGGTGGCCCAGGGACATCATCGGTTCGGCGCACGTTTCGAAGCGCCCGAACGCAACAAACGACTGCGCTTCTACTGGCGAATACGGTCCTGCCACCTGCATCACAACGCTGGTGCCGCACGAGCTGTGGGGGACATGGTCGGGGCAGCAATGGGGGAAGCATCTGTCCAGTCATGCATGAGCGAGCGGCGTGCAATCACGCGTCGTGCCAATGCTTACCGAAGAACCTACGCACAGTGGAAAGATGAGAATGCCAGGTACGTCGCGTCCCGTGGAGAGCAATCGCACGTACTTTGACGCCGTTCGGCTTGTAGTTCCTAAGGCCAAACACCGAAGTGAGCTCTCTCGGCCAGGGTCACAAGCCAGCCTCACCTCGTGTATGCATCGCGGAAGAACTGGCCGCACGTGGCGCAGTCGATGAAGGTGCAGAAGACGCGGTTCCGCAGTGGGGCCGTCTCGGTCTCTCGCGTCACGAGTGCGGGGTACATCGAGATTCGCAAGATGGGCAGCGATTCGAGACCAAGCCCCGATTGTGTGATGGCCGGTCCTGGGCTTACGGGGCTGGCGTTGCGACTGGTCCTGTGCATGGCTATCCCGTCATCAAGTCAGAACCGCTAATGGAGAGGGCGTTTTTCGACCACCGAGGACACGTTTTATGCGTTTTATGGGTTATATGCGAATCGGATGGGATTGTCGTCGGCCGCGACATCGAGGGAATGGGTGGCTGGCTGACGGTCCCAAGGCTCCAGCACGTCAGAGAGCAGCCGCGGCAGTCCACGGGTGCCCCCATCGAGGCTGAACAACCGCCTCAAGCCACGCCTGCCGCGTTGGCCGACCAATCTGTCTGACATCCTGCGGCGAGGAATCTGTCTGCACTTGGTCGATCCTGACTGATACCCACATGCGACAGCACTCGTTGCACCACCACCAACCTGTCTTATCTTGGTTGACAGTACTTGCAACAATGTCTATGCACACCACGGCATAGCAAACATCCTTCGAAAATTCCCGTGGCCATACCCGTCATGCCATGCAAAAAGGCACGAGTGTGCATGATACGGGGTCCCTCACTCAAAATGATAGACGGAGCGTCCCCACCGTCCCCGCGCGCGCAATTCGTCCACGCCGTGCTTAGGATGCTTGCGGTCTCTGACATGACCGCCACACGACATGTTTAGTTGGGCGGTGATAAAACGCGTTGGCGGGCAAACACGTTTTACATTCCAGAAAAACGCAGTGCGTTTTTCTCCCCGCACGACTTTATTTCGTTGGCCAATCACAGGCGGCGGCATAGCGACGGGCTTCTCGAAGGTCGAGTTCAGACGAGTTGTTCAATATAGTTGGACTCGGGGGCGTGCTAGTTCGTGTTCTCGGCCCAAAGAAGCTGCCAAACCATCCCGGTGATTGAAAAAGATGGCGGGTCCTTCAACATGGGGACGCCACGACCCGAATGAGCCGGGCCCGGTCCCCTCGATCGAGTGTCCAGGTGGCGCATTGGACCCCCAACCGGCTCCACGGGGGAGACTCGGCGGCGGCACTCGATGCATCTAGGGGGATGCTCGTGGGTGCCAGGGGCCTGCGCCATGCGTCCATGGATGCATGCAGCCGCCTCGTGTACCTGCATCGCCCCGACGGCAACGGACCCATGAAAAGTCATCGCCCATCCGGTAGAGGGGTCGTGCTACGTTATCTGATAGGCCTAATATGACCATCGCAGCTCGCTCCTGCAAGCTTCAACGAATCCAGCGCCGTCGTTTACGGGACAGCATCGGCAAACGACGCACCTGAATCCTGTCTTGCGTTTCGTGGCGTGCAGGTTGGTGGTTGCGAAGCGCCGTGCCTCACCGCGCTCGCTGCGTTGGGCGGTGTCGCGAGCAGGCGGACGTGATGGTGGTCCTGGCGGTTGTGTTCCCACGTGGTCCACATTCTGGTGGTCCATGCTGCACCCAAG